CTTTGGACATAGGTGTTTTGGGTTATATCGGCATACTTTAACATAAGGAAGACCCTCCCGAAGTTTGGCACATTCCTCCTGGGACACCCTGTATATATATATACTTGTATATTTACAGAGCAGTTACACTTTTCTTTCACATATAAGATTATTTCTTGAATGTACAGTGAATATACTGTTAATACAGTATCTTTAGTTTCCCAAAACTATCTCTGCATTCATGATTCCAGTTGTTTTCACTCTGCTGTGTACCTTACAGCCCTCTTTTGATGGATAAATATTCATATAGTGATTGCCTTCACACTCTGTCCCCATGCAACGATTCCATATGCCAGAAGGGGATAAGTGAAACCATAATACAAGTATTTTAGATAGTCTATTAATTATAAATAAGTTACAGCTAATTGTACTACAGGTTCTTTCAATATATACTTCCTAGCTCAGGTGAATGAATGGTGTTGACATGAATACTCCAACAAATAAATGTTTCATATTACAGTTCTAAAAAAATATGACTACGTATTTGCAGAGAATGGGTTGATAGCTTACAAGGATGGCATATCAATTGGACATCAGGTATGACAGAATCTTTTCATTTCATGCATCCTGTTGTGTTACAATATATAACCTCTTTATTAACTGTCACAACACAACAAATATCAAGATCAGTGCCTAGTTTCGGCTATCAATAGCCATCATCAGGCAAATGCACAGTTAACATATATACACCAGTGAACTGCAGTACTATTAAACATCTTTGTTTACGTTCCCCACAGTACGGACAATACTTTGTAAGATAAGGCACCGACTAAACACTAAGTAATATATACTATATCTTCAATATCAAAATCAGTTGTTGATTATAACAAAATTTAATACCATTACTTTCATATCATTTTCAGATTAACATTAATTTACTACATCTACATCACGAGCCTCCTATACAATCTTATATACAAAAAGAAAAAATATATAATATTTCAATTTGTCCATGGGAACGCAACGAAATTACAAAACCAACTACTGATTCGATGATATAAAACATCAATCTAAAATTTTATTCTTGTTTTATACTATAACTTCTGTTTTATATAATCTGATTTATTGTATTTTTTACTTCAAGTGTTTTATATGATTAATAGTATTGTATCAAATTTTAATAGTACTGCAGTTCAGTGGTGTATATATGTTAACCGTGTGTTTGCCTGATGATGACTATTGATAGCCGAAACTAGGCACTGATCTTGATATTTGTTGTGTTGCGACAGTTAATAAAGGTTATATGACAGAATATATTATTTTGATTGTGCATTCATCAGAATAAGAAGCAAAATACAGGAATGGATTATTATGATAAGCGTTTGTAAAACTGAAACACAGTTCTGTGAAAAACAAATATTACTCATTTTCTTTATGTTCTTCCATCTCAATGTAGACACAGTTGGTTTATAACTTTTCACTGATACAACATCCAAAATTTGAAAGTAAAACGTTTATTCTCTTTCATATTTGTACTTTTGAATACACAAAATATTTTCCCATCATATGAAATTTCACATGTATACTATATCTACTGTTATTCATCATTATTTTTTAAAAATACACTTATGTGTCCAAGAATATCATATACTTTTTAAAATAAATTAGATACAAATGACTTTACCAGAAGTATAATGTTTTCCAAAGCAAATTCCATTATTCTACAGTGCTTTAAATTTTGTATGGCCATGTTCAAGATACACATTTGAAAATATGATGCCAGGATGTAATGACATGGTCTCTATGTTGAATTTCATGCATCCCATATGATTGGTTCCAGGAACTGTGGCATCCACATGTATTGAGTGATTAATTGATTTCGTCACTGTAGATCATTGTACATGATATAGGACAAGTCAAGTTAATTCTGAATATTAACAATTTAATATATGAGTAAGATTAAAATTACAACAGTTACAATTGTTTACAGTTGATTACAATTTAGAATTAGTTAGATATTCTTATTTGTGGAGAATTTGATGGAATGAAGATTGTGAATATGTAAACATATATTTCTAAGTGACTGATAAGGAGGTGGGCAAAATATAAGAGCTTTATCCACTTTTTAAATTTTATTTATGAACAGCATTCATTTCACATGTTTAGTGTCTGTTTTCTTTTTACATTTTGTGCATATCTCATGAAATAACATTGCATGCAAAAAGACTGTGGCATCCACTCTCAGTGGTATTACAGGCCTGTATTTCTCATGTGTTCTTAAATCACCAGTACCACTGTGAATTGTTTCAGACTATCCAGGAACATATGGGAGAAGAAAAACTTCAAACATTTATCAACTTTGCTCTTAACTATATGTCACAGCTGAAACTGCCAGTTAAACGTGGCACATTTATTGAATTTCGTACAGGACTCATAAATGTCTGTCCAGTTGGACGAAGCTGCAGCCAGGCAGAACGTGAACAATTCTTTGAATTTGACAAGGAGCATAGGATAAGGGAAAATTTTGTCAAATCTCTAGAAGAAAGGTTCCCAGATTTGGGACTTGTATATTCTATAGGTGTGTTGCCTAACTGTAAGCACTTACAAAGTTATAATTCATTTTACATTTGTCATTTTGATGTGATGTTGACAAATTAATATTACTGTATTTGTAGTGCATATATAGAGTTGATCTGTATAGAAGATGGAGGAATTTGGCTACTTTCTTTCATCATATCAAAGGACTGCTTTTGATCTTCAGCTGTCAATGACAGGTGTACAGTGAAATATTGGATAGGATGCAGAACCTGTTTAGCTGCTCCCGCTCCTATTCCTTCATGATTTGTAACAGACATCATGGTATTTCATCCAGCCTACCCTAGTGTGGCAACTTATTCTTCCTTCAAAATTATTGGTTGGTTCCCAGCCTGTTCCAAATTTAGAAATGAAATAGTTTCTTCCACTCTCCTCCTAGGTATACCTGTGTCTCATTTTTCTTTGAGTAGTGTATGTGTATGTCATATCAGGGATCATATCTTCATGCATATGTGCTACTTTCTGGTGGCTGTTCATGTCTCTGACAATGTTTCATGCTCTTACATTACATTAGGCAGTTTAATCACTTATGTTACCTCAATGTAATCATGTAGTATTTATATCCAGCAGTGTCTGCAAACCTAGAGCAGTTAGCAATGTCCTTATTTTTGTAATCCTGTGCAGTATTTTTAAGATTTGTGACAGTAGCTTCACAAGTCACAGATGTGTTTGTAGAAACAAGCATATTGCATTAGAGTTATTATTTTTTAACAGTTTTATCATTTCCTAAAGTTTTTAAAATTAATTTGTTCCAATTATGTTAAACTGATGTATAATTTTTCAGGTGGACAAATAAGTTTTGATGTCTTTCCAAAGGGCTGGGATAAAACATATTGTTTACAGCACTTGGAGAAAGATAAATTTGAAGAAATCCACTTCTTTGGTGACAAAACAGACCCTGGTGGCAATGATCGTCAGATATTTACAGACCCTCGTACGATTGGACATAAGGTCACTTCACCAGCAGATACTATGAGGCAGTTGCAGCAATTATTAAAACAGAAACTGTCATAACTTAAATATATTGAGTGTAACATGTAACTGAAGAGAGAACCATTTTTTTATCTGAATTTATCTGTATGTGATGAATTTACAAGAATCAAAGCTATTTTTGTCACACTTAAAGCAGAACGATGCAACAGATTAGGTGTAATTTTCATGGGGTATATTAGGATAATGCAGTATTTTTCTTTCACCATTTATAGTGCTGGTATTCAGATCTGCAAAGAGAATAGAAGTGAATATTTTTGATGCTCTGGTGACAAAAATTATGCCTTTAAATTTCCATAAATGTTACTGTTGACTTTTAACAAATAGAAGCTACGAGCACAGTGGAAACTTGATTGTATATCTTCTGAATATTTTTGTAACAAATGTTATTTTGAATTTTTTTTAAGTTTCATGATGATGTACCAGCACCACTGGACACTGCCAGAGAAAAATCTTGGGATTCCCAAACATAATACAGATTATGAATTTCATTATGAGGATGAAGCTATAAAATAAGATATTAAAAGTGTAAAATCTGAAAGGTAATTGTGTGTCCTAGTAATCATACTGTGGACTATTTTTACAGAGAATAAATATAAATTTGAGGAGAATATGTTCTCATTTACATTATCAAACATTCAGATAACTGGCTTTCCATCTCAGGAAGCCAAATTTCCTGATAATGTGTGGCAAAACATCATGCCAGTGCAAGATCACTAGCAGTGATTCAGTTAAGTTCCCTTGATTTGTTTCTTGGAAAATAGGTTTCAATACTAGCAAGAATCAAAATGGAATAAAATGAGCCTATCTGTTAACATTCCCCATTACACCATACATTCTGCAGTAAAATTAAACATTTTTTGTGTTTGTACTAATTTGTACTAGTGTGAGAGTGTCCGGATATGGTTAATAGTGTGGTAAAGTTAATTTATGGCACGTTTGTGTTGTATCAAAAAGAGAACTATATTCTGTTTCCGAAACGTGTTTTTCTTAGTTATCTTAAAACCAGGACGATGGATAAAGTCCGAAAACCCAATATCTCTGTGTATTATTCACCATCGTCAGAATCCTATAGTAACTACTTATATTCTGTGTGTTTTTTAATAAACATACAGCATCTTGTTATTGTTTATATGTCATAAACTCCGTCCTAAGTGCAACAATTTATTGTAGTTCTTTTGTCTTGCTTTCTTCTACACTACATGTTTCGGCCGCAAACGGCCATCATCAGGTGTATACACTCACGTAGCTGTTACACTGCACTTAATTTAAAATTTAAAAACACGAGTCTTCCCAACCGTTCTTTTCGTCATAGCTATCAGGTTCTGATTTATCAGCGAAGTAGATTCTGATAAATCGAAACCTGATAGCTATGACATAAAGAACAACTGGGAACACTCGTGTTTTTAAATTTTAAACTAAGTGCAGTGTAAGAGCTACGTGAGTGTATACACCTGATGATGGCCATTTGCAGCCGAAACGTGTAGTGTAGAAGAAAGCAAGACAAAAGAACTACAATAAATTGTTGCACTTAGGATGGAGTTTATGACATATATCGTATAAAGTGCAACAGGATGCTTAAATATAATATCATTATTGTTTGTACTTCTTGAGGCAGAGAGAATGTACAGAGTAAACATAAAACACTGGTGTAGATTATACCTAGTAATTTTTTTGATGGTAGTTTTAGATGTTAATAGTGAGAGGCAGTACTGTATACATTTCTGGATAAACAGTAAACTTCAAAAACAGCACACAAAAAAAAGGAAGTTAAAATAACTATATACAGTGCAGTTGCATTTTATACAGATTTTAAATAGTGATATAAAAATACCAATAAAGTCTCACCATATGTGCAAAGTTTGAAATAATGCAAATCCCAAAATCCCTCTTATTTTACATTTACTTCAATGATAAATATTGTCTTGAATTTGCAAGGTTTTCAGGAATGCATACTCGCATAAAATGCCACCACACTGTATTAAATTGATTTTCCATTATTTTATAGTTTTCAGTAAATTTTTATTACTTGTTTTATAAAATTTTAATGTATAAGAGATTGTATCCCCAAAGATATTATGAATAAAATAGTGTCTTGTCACATGTTTCCTAATTATCGTGCCCATGCATGTGACTTATTTCATTCTCCAGTATATATAGGTGTACGTTTTTCTTTGAATGCTATCAGACCCTCCACTCTGTCCTTTGTAGGAATAACCTGTGCATAACATGCTTCTTCAATAATATTACCAGTGTTGAGATCCACTTCTAAACTAGCATTTATTGCAACTTTTGCCATTTTGAGACTAACTGGTCCATTAGGAACAATTTCACGAGCAAGCTCCAGTGCTTTCAAATAGGCTGCATTTCCTTCACTATTTTGTTTAACAGTATAATTAACAAGACCCATTTTCATAGCCTCTGCCCCTGTTAATGTTTTAGCAGTGAAAATTAGCTCTTTGGCAAATGCAGGTCCAACAAGCCTAGGTAACCGCTGTGTACCTCCTGCACCTGGTATGATAGCCAATTTTGTTTCTACTAAACCAAGCATGGCATTATCAGATGCTGTTCTCATGTCGCAAGCTAATGCTAATTCAAATCCACCACCAAGAGCAGCACCATCCACAGCAGCAATTACTGGCATAGGCAAATTCTCAACTGCATTAGTAAGTGATCTCAGTTTGGACACAAATATTTTCACCTCTTGGTTCGTAAGTTTTAATCTTTCCTTCAGATCTGCACCAGCACAGAAGATACCAGGAACCATACTTCTAATAATGAGAACCCTTACAGTTTTATCATATTTTACGGCATCTATTGCAGAGGAAAAATCTGTAGCTAAAGTTCGATTAAGAGCATTCTTCGCCTGTGGTCGGTTCAATTCAAGCACGACGATTCCATTGTCTTTTTCTTCCAAATAGTTCAATTGCAGATTTTTCTGATTACTTGCGATCGATGACGAAAACCGGCAAAAGAGTTTGCTTAAATGAACAGCCGAGTTTATAACTTTTACGTTTTTGAGTAATGGCATAGTCAATAGCCCGTTCCTTTCACACTTCGCAACAAAACCAATACTCTCCCACACGAATCTGAATTAGTACTGAAAATATAATTTCCCACTTTTGCAGATAATCTACCGGCTTTCCATAATGTATGTAGGGAAATTTAATCTACGAAAAAATGCGCTTACAATTTAAACATAAGTAACATAGACGGGCTAAAACAAAATTAACCAATTTCGCACATGTGAAATAAATATGACTATCATTCTTCATAAAAATAATCTGTGAAATTTATCGGGAGAAATTTTATTTTGTATTGAGCCAATGATTTCAAATGTTTTTGCGTGTAACATTAAGGTCATTTCCGTTCTAGGAATTTTGCAGTGATTGTTAGTCTTACAGATGTGTGATGCATATAAATACAAAAGAAATAGGTATAATTAAGCTTTCAGCTGTTAGTAATAGCATGAATAAACGCAGAGAGCATCAAATAATAGTTGGCAGGTACGTAAGCTTCGTTATTTGCAAGATGAATTATTTAAACTTCGATAGCAGGACACCACACCAGCCAAAGTTACAGATCAGGTTTTTGCTACTCCACGGATGAATCTTGTGTTGTTAACTTCTTATATACGGTGTCAGGTTGTAGTGCCTGAGGTATATTACTCTATAGGAGGAACTGCAGTGGGAAACCCCCCACCCAAGAGAAATTTAACAGAGGTGAAGATTTTGACTATTACCTCTTTGTATATCTTTGAGGTGTTGTGCTATTTTCAGAAATATAATTTATACTCTACGAGAAATTCAGATTTATATGAATATAGTACTAGAAGTAAAGATGATTTTCATGTGTCAAATTGTAACACATCAACTTTTAAGAAGAGTGTTATCAATATGGGAATTAAACTGTATAATAAACTGCCTTTGGAATTAAGAAAATCAGATGGATGTAAAGACTTTAAATATAGGCTAAAAGTGTTTTTACTAGATCATCCATTCTGTACATTGTATGAGTTCCTATTAGTGGGACAGTAGTAAGCATAGCAAAACCTCTATTCAGCAATGGAAATAGGTAACAAATGGTTGTTTGCCGTATCTTAATGTGTTCGGTGATTACGTGGTCATGTGTAGGACTCTTGATTTACTGTAATACTCTTAAAATTCTCTTGATGAACTCATAAGGTTGGCTTGCATTTCGATTTACATATACCTAATTTGATTATTTATCTGGTTTGATAGTTTGTGTTATATTTTAATTATAGGTTAACCATGTAAAGCATGATTATATATTGTTGACAAATTCTAATTCTTTAGGCATTTGGGCAAAAGGATTTCAAGAAAGCTATATTTAATGATGTGATTTGTTTGAATGTTACTGTTTTATCAATTATGAATGCCAAATAAAAATGAAATGAAATCAGTTCGCTTTCCACTTTATGGTGGTTATAGCAGTTCAATATAAGAGAAGCAGTTGACAGCCCTCTTAGAGATTTTAACTGAAATTTGGCAGGAGTTTGATGGCATTTCAGTGGAGAATTACAGTTCTTGACAATTTCAACCAGTTGGAGCAAGGAGGTCCTGTGTGGACACTCGCTTTCAGTGTATTTTTTCTGCAAATTGAAAATCTTGAATTAGTATTTTGATTGGGTAATGCACGTGTATGAAATTGGTTAATGTTAAACAGCTGTCTGGTGTGTAGTAAGCAGTGCTGCCAATGCTGGTAAATAGGATGTGCTTGAGAACTGAGGATTCTTTATTCTTGTTTTCTTGGATGGGGTGGAACCACTGAAAAAAAAAGCCGTTCTTAATGGTGAAGGATGCTGTTTGGCATGAAGCCGGTAAGGAACATACAGGAATTTCTGAGATGCCCGTTGCATGTCACCCCTGACAAGCTCAACTTCTTACCAAGGAAGGCACACCCAGAGAATGTATAGAGCTTAACATTCATTTCATGAAATTTTAGGAAGAGGGACAACATTGCTTTTGTTATAAAAATTACTGTAAATATTGTGACTGGTATTTGCACTTGTTGCCTGGGAATACTATTTTTATATAACGTTTAATGACATGAAGATATTTTCAGAATATAAAATTCATTCCAGGCTGTGCCACAACCCAGGCATTAAAGATTCAATTTGTAATAATATGACTTGGATTCAGTACCATGACTGCCCATGTGGGATTTATGGCGGTCATAATGACAGTAGGGCAGGTCATTCTACGGGTAATTTATCATTGTTCCACTTATGTTCCATCCTCATACATTAGCACCTCTAGAGGTATTTTATAGGGGTTGAATAGCTTCACTGTATGAAACCTCAGTCCTCAGTTGGGGCCTTCACCTCCATCACCATGGAGTAAGGAAGCTGACTTTCACTTGACATAATTCGACAGATCACAAAAAAAAATCTGATTTATGGAAGCAGACGACTTACAAATGCAACAGTCGTTCCATCAAAATTGAAATGGCACTTAAATATGAATCACAGCTGCATGGCTAGTAAAATTGGTGATTATTTTAAATGGCTATTGGAGTCTCAAAACAAACAGAGTCAAGCTTTGTTAGTAAAATAACAGTCAATGAAAAAGCTCAGGAAGCTAGTTATGTAGTAGTAAAACTTACTGCCCAGAAAAGGAAAAAGTCATGCAGTTGGTGAGAACCTAATAATGTCGCATGTAAAATTATAGTGGGCAAAATACTGGGAGTAGATGCAGTACAAGAAACTGAAAATTTTCCAGTTTCAAATAGTACATTAAATAGATGTATTGATGATATGTCACATGATACTAAAGAGTTTTTTTTTCATGATAAACTGTTTCTTTCTTCAGGTTGATGAGTCAACAAATTTCACCATTAAAAGTTAGGTTGTAGCATTTGTAAGAGTTGTAAATGATGGTGAAATTCATGGAAACTTTCTCTGGATACAATAATATTAATTGATAAGTATAACCTTAGTGGGCTTTACCAACCACACTGTGCAGTCCGTTAAAATATTTAGGACAAATCGGACATACCTTTAAGGTCAGATTCAGAGAACACATTTGAGACACAAAAAATAACGGACAAAACTCCAAATTTGCTCAACATAAATTGTACACCACAAATGAATATAGTACGATAGACAAAAGTTCATTATATAGGCAAGAAAGGCCGAACCTTGGATAAATATGAAAGATTTCACATTTATGAAATCAGCAAACTAAATGATAATTTTACCAAAATTTTTAACCCTATATATGACATAATCATTGATAGATAAAGTAAAAGTAAAGCTATCCCTCTAACAGGCCATGAAGGCCCATAGATATTGTGAGACGTTGAGGGTCCCATATTATCTAGACAATCGGCTCAAAGATGGCGGTAAGGTCAGCCTTACGCGCCGGCCGCGCTTTACTCTCCAGGAAAATTAATTAATTCCTGGTACTCATTTCTGTTAGGGGCTGAGTCGACCCCAGGGCCATAGTGCGGCTGGAAGGATTAGGTCAATTGAAAAAAAATCCAATACTATAACTTTAATTTTATATAGTCTTAATTTATTATTTTTACGCCAAGTATTTTAATATAATTAAAATTATTGTATCCAGTTTTACTAGTACTGCAGTTTAGTGGTGTATATATGTTAGCCATGTATTTGCCTGATGATGGCTTTTAATAGCCGAAACATGTAGCAGAGCCAAACTTGGGACTGACCTTAATGTAGCTGTGTTGTGACGGTTTTAATAAAGACATTGTATGCTGTGACAGCATACATCCTTACCGATCATGTTCTCGGAACTGGAGGCGGCCATTATGTATGACTTCATTTGCTTTCGCATATAGATGGTAAAGTATCGCTTCGGTGATGTCACGTCCGCCATGTAACTCGGAAATAGCTAGCACTGCATTCGTTTGCTCTGCCAGAGTGCGCCCTTATACGGCTTCCTTTAAATATTGTACGTGGCGGACGAGCCTGTGTTAGGAGGTGAGTAGGGAAGATGGTCTTGTGATTAGTAGTAATTGGTAATTTTACCAACCTAATATACTGAATTAAGTTCTATAATAATGTTTAGTTAGTAGTGTGATATAATTTGAGAAATGAATAAGGATGGATAGAATATTTGTTGATGCATGGGATATGTACAAGTTTGCAGAAGGATGTAAAGTTATTCGTGGCCGGCATTTCAAAGGTATGGCAAGGTTCTTCGTGGTCGGCATTTCAAAAATTGAATTAGAATATTGTGGCTTACAAGGCCAGATTGAAGGAACCTGCAGTATTTCGGTGTGTCAATTGGGACAAAGAAGTAACTGTTAAAATACCGTCCCAACACGAGGCAATATATTAGTATGGTGGAAGAGTCCCCCCCCCCAAAGATTTAAACCACAAGTAGTTTTTATTCGTTGAGTTAATGTATATAAGTTCATAGGCAAGTAGGAGATTGTTAAACGGGCGTTGAAAAGTAATTCTAACGTGGTTAAAATTCTGGTTTACAGAACAGTGCAGGAGAATATGTTGAAAACTGGAATGTTGTTACAAGGGCGTATGTTTATTTCTTCCGTCTAACAAGTATAATCTAACCAAATGTTCTGATTGGTTTTTGAATTCACAGTGCTGCGTAATGTTTATTAGTTTTGGGTAAGCTAGCTAGGTTATTCAAGGTTTCATCTGGGTATTGAAACAATTTTTTGCCAGTTGAGTCATTCCTTATATTGATCCAGACTGAGAGTCTGGGATTTGTGGTTGATAGTGGCACTGGGGCGAGTTTTCTGTGGGTACTACTGTCTCCTTTGCTAATTTTATTCAAACTGCCCCGAATTTTTTAATCCTATCATGGAAGCCATGCAGACTTGATGCTGATTCCATCTTTTGCCTTATAAGCCACGCACAGGAAGCAGTCTCTGTTCTGATGTCACCATTATTATGTTACACCTACCTCGCGCCCCTGCTGTTCATTACCACTTGCTCCATCTGACTTGGCTTCATAATAGGTGTAATGTCATGGAAACAGGAGATAAGTTGGGCGCCATGTAACTTACAAATAAGTGCATCTAGAGAGGTGTGGGAATTTAAGATGCTGTTGTTGAGAGGGCAAGCACGAGACTTCTGTCTCTGGGCTTAATGGGCCTTGCTTGCTTCAGTGAGATGGGTGAACAAAGAAAAACACTGAATCACGCACATCAACAGAACCATCAACTTCAGTGGTTTAACACTAAAACTGCACTTGAATTTATCATCAGTCCTTTTAGGCTCTCAAAAAGCATGTATCACTATTGTTGTGTACACTGTATGTCTAAGAGACACAGGTTTACGTTTTATTCAAATGGAGGTTAGCTCGAAAGTGATTTAAGAGGGCAGTCTTCGACTCCATTGTTGTTGATGTCTTCCACACACAGTTTAATGTGAATGAGGCTTTTTGTGCCACATATTGTGGACTGAAGAGGCATCATTAGTGGGGATAGAGCAATCACTTGTAACATGAAGAAGGATACCATCAAGGTGGAGACAAAACAAATGTTGTGTCTCATATTTGTCTGCTTACAATAAACGAATAAGAGAGAGAACTATTTTGTCACCACCTTGGTATTCTTTATGTTGTGTTGATGGTCCAGTTCACTTAACTGATGTCACTACCAATCATATGTTGTGGCATGTGAGGTTTATTTAAAAGATGCAAAGCCCAGCTCTTGTGGACTCTAGCCCAGTTAATGGTACACAAGGTTTATTCGGAGGGTGCAGACCACCTTCTTTGGTCAAGGTATGTGGTCACTGGAGAATTCTCATACTACTTGCTGCTGTTCATTTCAGTAAAGCATCAGTTTTTGGCTGAGAATCTTGAATGAGTGCCTAACTGGGTCATAGGTGATACAAAATCATATCAGCTGTACTAGTTACTGTTTGCAAGGGCATGTGATATCAACATGATTGTGCCATTCCCAGCTTCTCAAGGCACATGTGTAATTGCTTGAACATATGTTTTATAGACACATGGATTGGATGCGAGGCCAGTTTGTTTGGCCTGTACATTCTCCTGATCTGAATCCACCTAATACTTATGGGGATGAGTCAAAGAAAATTTTAGTATATGGTACAGAATTATAAGATTGTGAGAGCCTGATCAGTTGCATCCTACTAATTGTGACGTATTAGGGGCCAGCCTACAATCCTGGTTCATGTCAGAGACCATTCGTTGTTACGGAAGTGTATGAGCAGGAGTAGTTCTCATGAAGAAACTTGGCAGAGCTGCATGCAGGTCTTCTGCGTGATCACACATTTTTGTTAAGCATAATGTAAAATTTGAACTTAGAAGAGCTAATAACGTTGGAATATTTGCTTTTCATTTATTGTAATTAAAAGTAATAAGTGAAGATGTTAAATGTAATTGAATATGGACATGAGTAGATAATTATAACATTTCTTAATGACAGGAATCCATCATTACTGAACAAAGCAATGATTTGATGAGCAGTTTATTGCCGTTTCTATTGTGTGCTTGAAATTACCTTCCCAGCAGCCTAGTGATGTTTGGCCATGGGCCTTTGAATCATTCTACAGTAAAACTTGGTTATAGCAACATCGGTTTCTGCGACACCTTGTCTATTGCGTCAAATATTCAATGGTACGAACTAATTCCTCATAAAGCAACTGTTTTTATACCTTGCTTAGTACGACATGCACAAATGCATCAACCTCGTATGTAACATCATTTTCATTCCTGAATTTCTCTGATATCGTGGGAAAGTTCGATGTGTCTGCCCACCCTCACTTTCTCTACTTGCTGACGTGACTGTCCTGGAAGAATACGACCGCGGGCTGCAAGAGGAGCGTGGGTTTTATGCGAAAACAAGGGTGTGGGGTGGGACTGCGTGAATAGTGCAAGAG